TATCCAATGGCTGTGAACATTTAAAACTAACACGAGTCTCTATAAGTGTCCAGTTTTAGGGTCTTACACAGAATTATACCAAACAACATGAATCAAACATGCACTTCATTTATTTACACTAAATGTCAAAAGTACATCAAATCGGATTGAAGCTAAGGGCATACAAGACTGTCTAACATTCGGTGCAAAATGGCCAGTAGGGGTGAATGGGGAGTATTTGGTTGTCGTTGTTTTTCGTAGGGTATTCCTCATCTCGACTTGCATCTACTCCTTGAGGTCGAAAAGGGTTTCAAAGTCCTACACTTTGTTGGCTAAGGTCTCGATATCAACCTGGTAAGTGGTTTCTTGGCCAACTTGGTCATCAACTTCCAAGTTAGCACTCTCAAATTTGTTGGGTTGTTCTTCTAGGATAGGGGAAAGGTTGATTCTGCAAGCAACAATCCTCCGTGATCAAGGACGAAATAGTGATTCTAATGTAAGTGGTGTAGTAAGGCTAAGTGTGGTGGTCTCCTTAAAGCAAGAAGAAAGGGTAGGGGTCTCGGGTAATAGAAATAGGCAAGGATCTTTTATTAACAGAATTATGCGTTTGTTATGATCTACGCTCCTTTTTATAAGAGGAGATCTTGAGGCCCTGAAGGGAAGAAGCCAAAAGGGATTTGACTTCTATTTGGAAAGGCGATATTCGATTTGGTATCGATTGTCAGGAGGGCACTGCCGGGGGTTCACACGTGTCATACAAGATCTTTCTAGGATGGAGTTTCCTTTCGTTTGAGGATTCTCTTTGTGCACGTGTGCTACTTTCTTTCATAGGTCCCCTATGTTCACATGGCATGGGTGATGTTAGAGCTAGTTTAGCATGTTGGTCTACTTGTTCCGTCATTGGCTGGTTGTTTTATCACGAGTGGTTTTGGCTTGTTGTAGACACACGATGATCATTAAGTGTATTGTAGGTTTGCAATGTCCTTGAGCTCATCGCAGGTCTATAATGATAGCTTTCAATTTAGTTGTTTGTGTCGGCCTACGTTTCGCTATGGTTGTTTGTGTGGTTTCAATTTAGTACCACCATTGCAATCATAGTCGAGTCATGATTGATAACATATACTTACACAATCCATCAAATTTGGGTCGTCGAAAAGATAATTTGGTGTATTTTTGTCATTATTGATTCTGTTAAGCGTCGTTATTAGCTAACATACTAATGAGCACCCGTGGGGGTTTTCATTAACTCGGGGGCCATGCACGGGCAGTTCTAGCTGTGATAGTACATGCTTCACTATCACCGTGAATTCCTAAGAAGCTCCAATAAACATTTGTGTTCTATAATCAGAGGTCCCATGAATTCTAAATTCCTAGTTTTCCTCATCCCCCTAAGATGGTCCAGTATCCAAAGTAGAGAAGAACTTTTCAGCAACTTCTAGTACTCAGGTTTTGAAAAAAATGTGTAGCACCCAATCCTCATACTTATCATTATATGCCTCTCTCTCTTTCTTTACCTCCACAATATCTCGTTTTGGAATATTCACTGGGGACCCTTCGTGTCGACATGTTAAAGGCCTTAAGTAGAGTTTTCTCTCTGTTCAACTCTGCTTCTGATGTAGGTACACATGGTAGGCCCAATGGCATTCATGCATATGGTAGACCTGGGATAGCGACATGTGGCACAAGGCAAATCATTTCCTGACCGTCCGCTCATAACTAACTCCAGGTGAGTTCAGCTATAAATAAGTGGCATCACAAATGAGGTAAGACATCTTGCCATTTATTGCTCTAAGCATTCTAGCTCTCTAGTGACCTTGTTTGAGCTACCTCTACTTAGGCCTCGTTTGACCCCCTTTGCTATGCCCTTGCTAACTTGAATGTCAAAGTTTCCACCCCTGAGATAACACCGAGGGCCTTTGACATGCTTTCTCTCCTATAGGTCGGATCAACAGGCCCTCGGCCTATTCAGCCCTTGGACACATCATCCCTCGGTCTCGACAGACCTTGGCTAATGGAAGAAAATTTACATTGTTGCCTTTGGCCCATTCCAGGCAGCAACAATTGGCGCCGTCTATGGGAACGACTGCTAAGACTTCCCTTAACTGAACACTTAACCAAACTCATAGGGTAGACACCACACAGAGATTGGATGAGGTGGGTTGACCGGCAGGAGGCCGCCCATAGGGTAGACACCTAATCGAGAGCCTAGGGCACAACAATTGATGCTCTTACTAAGCTTCATTGGTTCAACGCCTAGTCAATGTCCAATGGCAACAGCTGGCGCGTAAGCTAGCCGGCGAGAACCTCCCACCTACCCAGCCGATGGGAAGGAGATCTAGTAGGGTCCCGCGATCACCGTCCGGACCAAGAACAACAACATTGCATGGAGAGCCCCAGGACAAAGGCGGGTGCTCAGGCCATTACAGCCCCCCTCCGAGGGCTGGAGGCTGACACCGTGCCTCTCCCTCCCAAGTATCAGACCTCCACGAACTCCTTAACGACTAACGGGCCAAAAGGATTTAGGACGCACACGCATCATAATATTATGGGAACCGGGCAGACCCATTCCGCATTTCAGAGAACCAGGACAAGGCCCTCACTCCCGTCGACTATAGAATCATCGACCTCGAGGTGCAAATTGATGCCATGCAAGATGAACTTCGACAAGTTATGGAGGGTTGAGGTGACAACTTCACAAGCCAGAACCCCTCGTCTAATAGGATGGACACCATCACCTTGGAGCCCCTACACTAGAGATGTATGACCGAAACTTTGATCTGGATAACCACCTGGAAAGCTTTCGAGTGCTCATGCTCCTCTATGGATACTCTGACACCTTGATGTACCGGGCTTTCCAGGTGACTTTCAAGGGAGCAGCCCATCGATGGTTCTCCGGGCTCCCACCATGCTCCATCAGCTCATGGGAGCAGTTCGCTAGTCTTTACATCACCCATTTCATCAGTAAGCAACAGAGCCAAAAGATCGTCGTCTCACTCATGTCCATTCGACAGAAGTGTGGTGAGAGTTTGCGGTCATACACTAACCGCTTAAAGAAAGAAGAGCTTGAGGTCCAAGACCTTGACCCCATGGTCTCCATGCACGTATCAATCAACGACCTCCTACCGGGGTTGGCCCTCAAGTGTTCCGTTGCTAAGAAGACCTCGGTTGGCGAGCTGCAAGGAGAGGCCAACCACAACCGTGGAGGCTCAGACAAGAAGGGAAAGAATGGGGACGGCTGCAGCATCAACATCAACAACAACAAAAATAAAGATAACAACAAGAAGCCACTTGGCTTGACCTACAACCAGTACATGCCACTCAACTCTAGCCAAACACAAATCCTTATGCAAGTAGGGAAAGAGGAGTACATGAAGTGGCTAGAGAAGAAGAGGAACCCCAAGAGAGGTAACCCTAAGAAGTATTGCAAGTACCACCGCGGCATCGACCATGACATCGAGGACTGTTATGACCTAAAAAATGAGATCGAGTTCCTCATCCACCATGGTCACCTGAAGGAGTACATGGGGGATGATGCCGGCACCTCATCCTTACAGCAGCAACAACAACTGGCTAGAGTCATTGATGTCATCATTGGAGGCTTGGCTTCTAGTGGTGCTTTGGCCTCGACCTACAAGGCCTATGCTAGGTAGCATAACATTTAGGGGCCGACCCCCAAAAGCCAAAGAAAAATGAGGCCCTCACCTTCACAGATGAGGACCTGAAGGGGGTGTCGGTCCCCCATAATGATGCATTGGTGGTGTCGATGACCATCACCAACTACTTAGTGAAGATGATACTAATAGATAGTGGCTCATCAGCAGACATCTTCTTCTACGATGGTTTTGAGAAGATAAAACTAGCACCAAAGTGCCTTCAGCCGATCAACGTGCCACTCATTGGCTTCTCTAGGAATGCTATCAGATAGAGGGAAAGATCACCCTACCCCTTACCGTAGGGGCAGAGCCTCGGCAGGTGATGAGGATGACCAAGTTCCTAGTCATGAGGATCGGCTCCCCCTACAATGCAATCATCGGGAGGCCAACTCTTCATGCCCTCAAGGTAGTTATCTCCTCCCACCACTTCACCATGAAGTTTTCCACCAAGTATGGTGTTAAGTCATTCAAGGGAACCAGCAAGCCACCCAACAATGCTATGTGGCAGCATTGCAGGGCAAAATTAAAGAAGCTTTGCTGTTGGAAGGGCTCCTCCATGCCGTTGGAAGGGCTCGACCTCGGGTCCAACCTTCCTCCTAACACCCTTTATGAGCTGGTAAGTTTCCTCAAAACTAATGCTAATGTCCTTGCTTGGTGCTGTTGACATGCCCAGAATTGACCCTTCGGTCATTACTCACAGGTTTAGCATGGACCCGAGCTCTAGGTCAATTCGACAAAAAAAGAGGAACTTTGCACCGGAACGTTGGAAAGCCATCAGAGAGGAAGTTGACAAGCTACTTGATGCTGACTTCATCCGAGAGGTACACTACCCTACCTGGTTGTCTAATGTGGTTATGGTTAAAAAGGCTAATGGGAAATAGTGGATCTGTATTGACTTCATAGACCTCAACTGAGCTTGCCCCAAAGACAACTTTCCTTTACCGAGGATTGACCACCTCGTCAACACTACCACAGGGTACAAACTACTCAGCTTCATGGACACCTTCTCTTGATACAACCCGATAAAGATGCACCCCGAGGACGAGGAGAAGATGTCATTCATCACCGAGCATGGCACCTACTGCTACAGAGCCATAACCTTCAGCTTCAATAATGCCGAAACTACCTACCAGCGGCTTGTAAACAAGGTTTTCAAGCACAAGATGTGGAGAAACATCGAATCCTATGTAGATGACATGGTTGTTAAAAGACTGAAAGCCAACCAACATACCTCAAACCTTACCGAGACTTTCGACACTGCAAAAATACAACATGAAGCTTAATCCTAGCAAGCTCCAATATCGAAAGTAGAGGTCCACTATCCAAAGCAGAAAAGAACTTTTCAGCAACATCTAGTAATCAGGTTTTGAAAAAATGTGCAGCACCCAGTCCTCATACCCTTGGCGCCAGCATGTGAAAGGCCTTAAGCAAAATTTTCTCAAGACCAAACCCGCCACCTACAAGATTGCCCCCCACAACATCTCACAGCACATCCCCCACATGTATTGGGAACATTTCCTGATGATAATCTCAGAAATGATGATGTCATCATCGGGAGATGCTCTCAATACACGGCGGAGATGTGCTGTGAGACATTGTTGGGGGCAATCCTGTCAGGGGCTGATTTTGAATTCAGTTTTCTCTCTCTTCAACTCTACTTCAATCCCCAATCTTTCTATGTCCAACGCTCCAAGGAAATTGTCGAAAGAGCAATCCCCTTTGCAATATGTCACCACTAATCAAACTCGCACTAAAAATTAAAATTCAGTGCTAATAGAAATAAAAAAATTCAAAATCAAGGTTTCAAGGAAATGACTCTCCTGAATGGATGAGAGATACATCACATGGACGCCCAAAAATGCGGATTAGGGTGGGCGAATTTCAAAAATTTCTCTCCCTTCAACTGGGAATCGTATTCCCTATTTTAGAAAAATCATATCTTTCCAGGATCAATCTTGAACCATGAACCGAACCAGATTTGAAACGAAATAGTAGCAGAGGGATATACCTGATACAGAGAAATAATATCTCTCAATGAAGGTGTTCACGCCCAAAGAAGATCACCAAAAACTGCTCCCACTGAAGATGACACAGTGGATGGAGGAGCAGAATCAGCAGGGTCCGTCCCTCGAACCGAATTCTTCAGCAAGAACCCAATGGAAGCAATGAGCACAACTTCCTATCAGCCTTTCAGCAAAGACTGATTTTAAGATCCAATCTTGACCACTCCTACAATGTTGGAGAACGAATTGGCAGTATGGCAGCGGTAGGAAGGGATCACAGGGAGAAGGCGCAGTCACACTGTGTATTCTTCTCTCTGTAATTCGAGATCTAGTATCTCTAGAACTTCTGGGATCGTTTTGATGGTTCGCCCCTTCCTATTTTAATAGGATTAAAGAGATCAGCTCCAGATCCTATCAGGAGTTTCCTAATTCAGATCATAATATGAATTTGGACTCTCTTTAAGTGATAAGGATAAAACCCTTATCTTATCTGCAGATTAGATCAGCCTTCTCCTGATCTTATCAGGAGGTTTCCAGATCTAAATTCAGATCTGGTCTCTCTCTGAGTGGATAGAGTAGGACTCTATCCTATCAGCTGATTTAATCCCAGATCTGCCCCCTCTATTTAACTAATTAAAAGGACCAGTTCAAAATGGGCTTCAGGCCCAATAAGTCCATGTGCTCAAAACTGCTTCCAAACTRCTGCCCAGTTGGGCTTCTTTGTATGGCGTGGGACCCAAGCATTGATCTACACATCAGCCACATAGGTTCGGCCCAGCCTTTGTTACAAGGCTTGGCCGAATACACTGTTGTGGACAGTGCACCCCTTGAAACCCATCACATGGGCTTCTATTGGGCCCAATACTTACATTAAGTGGTACCTAGGCCAAGCCATCTTATAAAAACCCAGGGACTGTGGACAGATGCAAGATTAGCCCATCGGGCATTACCCTCAGTGGCCTTACACTTAACCTCTCAGCCCGTAATGATCAAACACTACCCGACAAGAGAGGACCTCTCCCTCGGCTGCAAGGAACAATGTTGCACTCTCTGCTTATATGGATCCCGGGAATTAATCTTTTGCAAACATTTTAGAAACCGTAATATATATACTTTTATATCTCATATAAAATATATTTTGCAAAACAAATCTCAACGATTGAAATCGGCTGCCRGCAGTCTTGGTTTCCATTAGAGAGAGTGCATCCCCGATCATTACCTTTTTCGACAAAGGGGCTGATCCTGTCACTATGATCACCCACTCAGATGAATTCTCAGACTGTCCCAACATACCCAGGTTTTGATCCCCGCTATGGATCTCACTGATTGGCATATCAAAGATAGCCCAATCCGACACCTAGTGCAGTATCATAATTGAGTCTAGGGGTTAGGTGTAACTTTCCAGTTTTGCCCATTAATCTCCAAGGTCTAGGGAAATACTTGAAATCTTGTCCGGTTCAAAGATTTAAATAATCCTACACTACATGTGCCTTGGGTCTACGCTGGCAGCTGAGACAGGCCACCCCAACCGACTTGGTGGCACATCAGTGTTAGCCTTATCAG